GAAGGAACTAAAAAATAATTTTTTAGAGATGAAAGAAATGCAAAATTATATTATTTGGTTAATTTAAAAAGAAAAAGAAGAGAGGGTTAAAGTGGGAAACACGGTCGTTGGATTTCCGGTGGAGCAAGAAAGCAGAAGCTGGGAGAGAAGAAAGGAGGGTTTTCGTCTCTGCAGAGGAAATCGACGGCAATTAGCATACGGAGAGAGGCTCAATGGACGTGATAAAGACGCAGCAGATATCGTCTCGGCCGATAGAGAAGGTGATTGTGCATCCTCTGGTTCTGCTCAGCATAGTCGACAACTACAACCGAGTCGCCAAGGACACTCGCAAGCGCGTCGTCGGAGTTCTCCTCGGCACCTCCTTCAAAGGCACCGTCGATGTCACCAACAGCTATGCAGGTCCGTTTTCCTCCACCTTCTCGTTTCTCGCTCTAAATTTCAGTCTAGATCTGATTCTATTGAATTCGGTTCGGTATTTTTGTGAAACTACTTCTATTTCCACTTGTTAGGTAAGTAAATTGGATTTTGAGCTCCATTTCCTTGTTAATTTTTAAGGCATCGTTAGGAAGCTTGCTTGTTATTGTTTAGTTTAGCTGATTTTAGTAGGTGTTGGCTGAATCATGCACAATTTTCTGTTTTGTTTCGAAGAGAATATTTACTATGGAATTTCTGTGTTTTATTTGTGCTTATGGTAGTAAAGAAGGTTGTAGAACTATCTGAATTATAAGTGATAAAAACCATGAAGACATGGTAGAAAACTATCCGAAGATTTTTTATAAATTGATAACATGGAGTTTATTGGTACAATAGTGATTGTTATAGTTAAATTCTATTGAAACTTGATTAATCATGTGCTATGATTACTGTTATTGTTATCTCTAAACCATAGAATCTTTCAATTTCAGTGCCCTTTGAAGAAGATGAGAAGGACCCTAGCATATGGTTTCTTGACCACAATTATCATGAATCAATGTTTTCAATGTTCAAAAGAATAAATGGTAACTAGTTCTGTAACTTAGTGTGAATAGTGATGCCTGCCTTTTGATAATATTTTTTATTCCATAAGAGTTTGGGAGGTTGTTTACTCAGTTCCCTGTATGAAATTTTGATAATTGTTTCAGCTAAGGAGCATGTTGTAGGTTGGTATAGCACTGGCCCAAAATTACGGGAGAATGATCTTGACATTCACAGATTATTTCACAAGTAATAGCCTATACATTTGGTTTTTCATTTCTTTTTCAGTGAATAGTGTTTTTACCATTTTTTCCTTTTTGAAGTAATTTCATTTGACAGTCTTTTTCATGCTGTAGCTATGTCCCAAATCCTGTCCTAGTCATTATTGATGTCCAGCCTAAGGAGCTGGGTATACCCACCAAGGCATACTGTGATGTCGAAGAGGTCAAAGAGGTAGGAAAACACACGTGCATTTTTATTTGGGAGGCCAGTTAACTATTGTAGCAGTTCCTCTGATGTGTTGAGCAGAGACTCCCAGTCCTGATTATTTTTCATTCACTTGAAGGAAGGTTTGATTGATATCTTTCTATGGTACAGAATGCTACTCAAAAGAGCCAGAAGGTTTTCGTTCATGTTCCTTCTGAAATTGCTGCTCATGAGGTTGAGGAGATTGGTATGTTATGAAATGGAATTACATAAATTTATCAAGTTTCCATTTCATAAATTTATAGTGATCTGACATATTGATCTTTTACTGCTACTACACTAATATTCTTATTCCCTTCTCACCTCTCAACAGGAGTGGAACATTTGCTCAGAGATGTGAAAGATACAACAATTAGTACCCTTGCAACTGAGGTTTACTTTTCTGTTTTTTTGTTTTGCCTATCTTTACTTATTCATTGGTTATTTTCTTTATTAATTTTAAATCTAGTTGGAAAGTAACACTCTTAATTTCTTCGAAAGTGCACACCATATGGGAATGAAAAGCAATGATCATATTTTGGTTCTTCTTGTATAGGTTACTGGAAAGCTTACAGCCTTAAAGGGCTTAGATGCCCGGCTGCAGGAGATACATTCTTACCTTGATCTTGTTATTGATGAGAAGCTTCCACTGAACCATGAAATTCTTTACCATTTGCAGGTGAAATTTTTAACTCTTCAGTTTTAAAATTGCAGTTATTTTAGTTTGCCATTTTTTTCTGCACGTCATTATGTTTTTCCATCATCCCATGTTTATTATCCACTGAATGACAGCATTAATCTCAAACAACCTATCCTGGGGTACCTTTGTCACTGGAAATATGATGAAATTTAATCACATTGTGTGGTAATATGTTGAGGAGTCTGCATATGATGTCATGTCATCATAACAATGGCAAATATGTTTATTATTTTCCTTCCATCAGGCATGTTTGGAATCAGAGAGCTGGCATGGCATGGCATGCATCCATCTTGGGTTTATGTTATGTTTTTTTAACTAGTATTTATTGAATGGCTCTAATTAGGGATAGATGCTTATCATTTGTCTTAAGCCCCAGTAAGGCCAAAGAAGATGCATTGTTTTTACATTATTCATGCCATAAGCAGTTAGCAATACAGCTGAAAACTGAATTACATTTTCTGCATGTTTGCTAATTGGCCTGGATTTCCCATGAAAAATTCCATGATGAAATATTTTTTAACATGACTTCATGTTTGACCCATTATCTTCTATGCTAAAATTGCAGGATGTGTTCAACTTGCTACCAAACCTAAATGTAGCCGAATTAATAAAGGCATTTGCAGGTAATAAAAAGCCACATTAGTCAAAAGTACTAGAAAATGTTGATTTTCTCATATCTAGATACGGAAGTGTCAACCTTTTTAAGCTCATTGATCTGTATTCCCCTCTTTTTATGCAGTAAAAACAAATGATATGATGTTGGTTATATATCTTTCATCTCTCATCCGTAGTATCATTGCACTTCATAACTTGATTAATAACAAGGTACTTTCTCCCGTCTCAAGTTCATTTGAACAATGTCTACCATGTAAATGGCTGTTTGACTTGAAAACATGCTTTCAGATTCTAAACAAAGAACATGAGAAAGCTGAGGATGCAAAGCCAGCAACAATCCCCTCTGTATCTGGAAACTAAATATCTAGATTGCTCCTAGTTTCAGCAGTGAAAGAACTCGAGCTGTGTGGGGGCTGTACGATTTAAATTGAATTTCTGTAGTTTCTCATTCTTGAAATTTTGTATTCTTCAGTTCAGCCTGAGATCACAGGCCTTGGAATTTAGATTCATTTATCTGTGTTTCGCTGTTGTACCAGTATTCTGCTAAACTGCATCTCAATTAGCCTTAGTTTCGTTATAGAGATAATCATTAAAGATATGACATTTGCTCTCTTGGCTGTTCTTTGACTTGGATATATTTTCCTAGTGGCATCCAGCATGCTTGATGTTAGAAAGCCAGCGATACAAGCAGCTAAGGTAAGATCTAGGTTGCATCCTATCCTGTTGTAGGATATTGCAAGGTACTGGGTTTTAATTTGGGCTCAAGCTGCAAGGGCTGAGCTTTAGTGCACTGGGCCGTTAGGATCTTTAATTTAAAGTTTGAAAAAGATTTGCAAATTTATCTTCGTAATTTAGTAGACAAAGAATGAAAGAGGAAATCTTGTACCCTAACGTTTGCAGTATCTGCAATCAATATTCTAAACAATGTTTCGAATCAATTGTTACCTTTGGCCGGAGGTTTTTTCTAACTGTTTGAGAAATTTAACCTTTTAAGCTACTTATTTAGATTTTTTTTTTTTTTTTGCCAACATATTTTCGATTTATAAACAATACTCATTAATGTTTTTTATGTGAGTAGTGACATTATGTGAGTAGTGATTAATGTCATTGCAAAAACAAAACCATTAATATTTCGAAAAAAAAAACGAGGATGTTGAAACAAAAAAAAGAAAGCAACAATTGTTAGCCTCTTGTTTTTACTTCTTTATTTTTATCTCAATTTTTTCACATGTTATGTGATTTAAATTTAAAATTTATTATTTAAATAAAAAAATATAACCACCATATTATTTAATTAGTTGCACCAGCCTATTGTTTTTTAAGTTCAAACAAAAATTTTTTTATTATTGATTTAACCGATAGAAGGACACAATGGTCACTTCACTTTTTCTCTAAACTGATACGACCGTCGGACCTCGGTCTGCGCTTTCGCGGGAGCTTTCTGATAAATCTACGGCGCTGGCGAACCATACTATCCTTCGAAATCATCAATTTCGTTTCACAATCATGGCGGTTCACTGAAAATCGTCTGAAAAATGGGTTAAGCCTCGAGAGATATGAGAGTGAGTTTATTATTATTATTATTATTATTTTCTCTTTGTTATTGCTTTTGTATCACTTTAATGTCGCATTCTGTAACCTACAATGGCAGGACATCTACTATCGCAAAGCCAAAGAAGAAGGTTGGCGCTCCAGAAGTGCCTTCAAACTTCTTCAGATTGTTGAGGAATTCAACATATTTGAAGTTGAAAAGATAAATAATTGGATAATTCTACCATTTTCCTTGCCTATACACGATTCATCGACATTTGATTTGGAGGAGTGAAGGGTGTGGTGGATTTATGTGCTGCCCCCGGAAGCTGGAGTCAGGTCTGTATTAACCTCTGATGTAAAACTATTTATGCAATACACATGTTTACATAATTATCATAGTAAAGCTGTTTCTGAATCATTTGACTGTGTGTAGGTTCTAAGTCACAGAGTATATCTCCCAGCAAAGCAGTTTTCTGATTCAAAGTAAGCTCCTTTGTCTTGTGTTTTTCATGGTAATGTTTTGCATTTAAAGAAATGGAAGGGAAAATAGGAACACATGCTATAACTATTTTGGCACTGAAATGAAATCTCATTAGCTACTTTTTCGATATGTGGCTTCTTGTATTCATCTTTCCTCAATCAAATGCAGAAGTTGCATAAACTAATACTGGCATTATTTAAACTTATTTCTTGTCCAACTTGAGATTCCATTTCTTTTATCATGAGTCATATTTAAAAGGAAAAAATTGGTCTGTATATGAGTTTCATCATGTATGTTACATTCTATTTGGAATATATCTATCTTGGTCATAATTTGAGGGATGGAGATCTTCCTCTTGTCAGAGCCATCGATCTTCAGCCAATGGCCCCAGTTGAAGGTGTTATTCAAGCTCAGGGTGATATAATATAACTAATGCACGAACTGCTGAAGTGGTAAGGAAAAATTTCAATTCTTGTCCCTTGCCTTTCAGTTGATGGTATGAAGAAAAGTTGTGATGATTCTTGAAAATGATGTTGGCAACGCAAATTTATTATGCTGGTGTCTTAGTGGAAATAGAGTATTGTTCTGTATTCCTTTAGGCTGAAGCACCTAATCTAACTACTTAATCCATCTATGGTGTAAAATTTTGTTGGTTTTAAATTAGAAGCCGTTAATATGAACATTGCATTGCTGTGATCAAAGATATTTTGAGTATGGTGCCTGACTGGCTGCATGTCTCGTTGTGCTATTGCTATTGCTTGTTCTTCATTAGGGCAATATGGGCACCAGGTGGTCCATTTTCCAGTTTGGGTTCTGCTTGATGTTACCATTTTAGATTTAATATATGTCTGCTTTAGCTAATAGAGGTTTAACATCTGTAATGTTTACTTAATTTTTAGCAATTCTTACAGATTTGTACCCCTTGCAGGTCATTAGACATTTTGGTGGCTGCCAAGGCTGACCTCATTGTCTGTGATGGTTCTCCTGATGGTAAGAGGATATTTCTTGTTTAAACTTTTCATTTCTGGTAGACTAACTACTTAATCTGAGCAATTCCATCAATAGGGGAGTCACCTTATGGTCCACTTAAAAAATACATTGAAATGGTATTTACTATTAGTCCTTCTTGAACTTAGCTTTTCTTTGTGCTGATTTGCAGTTACTGGTCTTCATGACATGGATGAATTTGTTCAGTCCCAGCTGATACTTGCTGTAAGCACTTAGCTTCTTCTCATTTTAGTCTTTGCCTTACCACTCTTCATCTTTTAGTCCTTACTTGTTAACAAAAACTTCATACTTCAATGCAAAATCATGTTAATATTGATGATGTCACAGCTGGTTTGTTTACACTTTACAGAATGTATGGAAACAGCAAGTTTTTATTTTCTTTTCCACCCAATTTACCAAACCACGTCCATGTTTCCAGACCCATGGTAATATTGAGCTACATGAACTAGCTGGACCTTACATAATGTTTTCTTTATAAAAAAGCTGGATCTGAATAAAAGCAACAGATAATGCAGGAGGACCAACTAAAGCCTTTCTTTAGATGATAGAATTAGAAACTAAATTATGAGGAAAAAGTGTTAAAGACTAACATTTATGGTAATTTGTTCTCTAGATCTTTTAGCATTACAAAGAAACTGATCACGTTAGAAGATTTTGTAAAGACTTTGTAACTACATCTTTAGAGCACTTCAAACACCTTCCATTGATCTTATTGGAGGTTTGTTCTTATATTCAAATCTGCTCGTCTTTTTCTACAGAGCTTAACAATTGTGACTCACATGCTTAGAGGAGGTGGAAAATTTATTGCACAGATATTTCGTGGAAAAGATACTTGTCTTCTCTACTGCCAGGTAAATTGACTGCGGATTAAGACTCCCAACCTTAGCTTTAACCTGGTGCCTGAAGAGACAGATGTTTGTTACAGCCATTTGCTGACACCAAAGTTTCTTTCTGCAACACTTTAACTTTTTAAATTTAATTATTCCTTTGACATGGATATGATTTTTGCTAGAGCTTAATCTTTATGATAAAAAATTGCCGTTTATACACACACAATCTTTTGTCACAGCTCACAACAAAGTCTCATAATATTTAAATGGTATTAAATGAGTGGATGCATGTTAAAACATAACAGCCACCAAGTGAAAAGAACCAATGATAAGATTTTACTTCTATCATTTTCCATTAAAAAAAGTAAAAAATGTTGTATGATAGCTTGTTTAATCTAACAAAAATTATATACTCCCTAGTCTCTAAGCTTAAGCTAATAGGAAAAATGGTAGGACCTTCCTAGCTGAGTATTAATACGTATGATTCTCAAATTCTTGTGTGTGTTCAACTAGAAGGGTGGACTGTGGACTCAAGCATATGACTACTGATGTTCACCGTCCATTTGTCTTCACAGTTTACAGATATATGAGCGCCCTACATTAATTGTCTTTTCATACTAGCTCCTCTAGAAATGGCCTGTCAACTTAAGCTTTCAATGAGTGGCTCTCAATTCTTACCTTCGGCAGAGGGAAGCTGCAGTCTCTTTTTCTCATTATCTTGCAATGTCTCATCTGGGACCCATTCTTGCTCTTAAGTGTTAGTATATAAGAGTGTAGCTGATATAGCAGTCATAAGTAAATATTTTGTTCTTTAATTTTTTAAAGTAGTATAAAGTGTTAATGTAATTATTCTAGCATCAATGTCTATTTTTTCTAGCGGGAGACTCTTGTCTTGACTTCCTTCTTGCAGCTAAATTATTTTCCCCTGTAGTGACTTTTGCAAAAACAAAAAGCAGCCGCAATTCTAGTATAGGTAAGATTATCACAATATACATCAACATAGGGATGCCTTTTCTTTAGTTTGGTAGCTTCTTTACTTAGTCCATCATTTTCTTCTTTTTTTTTTTTTAAATAATTTTTTCAGAAATTCTTCCATCTCGCTCTTCCTCTGTGATTTAACTCATTTGAATTAAAAAGAGTCCTAAAAGGAATAGAGGAAAAGAAAACTTTTTGAGCCGTAGTAATTTTTAAGAAGGGAACTTGAGACCCGGATCTGCTGTTGTAGTAAAAACCAATTGATTGCTGCAAAATTTCCTTGAATAAATGGGAAGAAGGACAAGTACTTAACTGAGTTGGTATCCACTAACTTTAAAATCTTGAAGGTTAAGTACTAACTTTCTTTTCCAATAATTAAAGAGAGGATTGCAGTCTCCCTCCTTTTTCCATCTGTGGTAATGATTTACTAAATTATGTTCTATTTTGTAGTTAATACTTGAGTTGTTTAACATGCAGGGGCATTTGCAGTATGTGAGAATTACTCTCCTCCTGAAGGATTTAATCCAAAAGACTTACATTGCCTTCTCAAAAAAGTAGGAAGTCCCTCTGGTGTAGATGATCTTGGTAAGTAACATTCGACATGCTAATTATCTTCAGATTTTGATTATTATATTAATACATATGCACTTAAAATATCTTTGCAAGTAATTCATGATTGCTTAGCCTGTTGAGTTAGAAATTTCTTCATAAATGGTTATGATGTCTAGGACCCATACATGGCCATTTATTCCAACTTTAACCCGCATAACAGATTGCAGTAGCAGGTGGTTGGAAGGGCCAAACAAGATGTATATCCCATTTCTAGCTTGCGGGGGTCTCAGTGGATATGATTTACCTGCTCATACCCACTACCAAACGATGCTGACGGAACTTGTCATAGCTTAGATCCTGTCCAGCCTCCAATTGCCCCTCCTCATTAGAGAGCTCTTGAACTGAAGAAAGCTTCCAGTCACAGCATCTGATAGCTGGAAAAGCTTTCCTTGCATCAAGAAAGAAAATTGTTGTTGTTGTTGTTTCTTTTCTTTTTTTCTTTTTCTTTTTTTTTAATCATAACCAAGTTATTTATGGACAAATCTTTTCAAACTGGACTGTAGCTCCGATGGAAGATCACCGGAGTTTGTTGATTAAAAAAGAGTATTTGAAAGTGGAATTCACTCATCAATATCTGCTTGCAATTTTTTACAGCCAACTTGGAAATACTTTCATGATCGAAGATCAAAGAATCCTAAAGTTTTTTTTTTTTTTTTATTCATTCATTTACACATACTTTCCCGGGGTGAATGCAAAACTCCTAGCAGGAACAAGAAACAGAATTTGATCTCGACAAAGCAGAAGAAGAATTCAAGAACTCGATGCAGTCTTCTATGGCTTCAGCTCGGTGAGAGTCAATAGATTCAGCTAACGACCGTGACCTAACAAGATTTGACGAAGAGACCTTCCGTGAACACTTCCTTGGCATGGACAAACAACATAGTACTCTGGCCACTTTAACCCCGAGACGCCTCAACAATCTTGCCGGAGAAAAACTCGAACCCTTTGACAGCCTAAACGCCAAAATCCCAACAACCCTCTTCCTCTTTCTCGTTCTTCTGATACTTCCACCATGTTTCAGGACAACAGTTGGCCTTTGACAGGCGTCGGGACTGAAACTCACCTGCTTGCTAGCTTTTGTTGACATTCTTGACTTTCAAGAAAACTCCAAATGGAAGAAAGCAGGGAAAGGGAGAAAGATGGGAACAAGAAAGAAGAGGAAGCTGTTATTTATGGAGGAAATGTTATGATTAGAGTAAAGGGGAATGGAGAGAAAAAAAAAAAAAGGATACCAAAGGATAGGAGGTCAAATTCTCATTGAAATGAGGAAATATTTATTGGGTCATATACTTTTGTTCAAAGATGTTGACTACAGTGCCATGGAGTATTTCCTTTTTTCTTTTCAATCATTTGTTACAAAAGAAAGAGATAGAGTAAGTAATAACCTATATTGAAGAAAGATTAAATTTTCAATTTGGTCCCTGATCTATTGTATGAACTTTTGATTTGGTTTCAGAACTAAAAAAATCTCTAATTTGATCCCTAAACTATTATATGAACCCCCAATTTGGTATTTATTGTTTCCCAATTTATCTCAAGTTGGTCATTTCTACAAAAAATAATTGACATGTCTTATTATTAACGTGATACGTAATTATTAAGTAACTGTTTTTCACAGTTAAGTAACAGATACGTCAGCTGTTTTTTATATAGAATGACCAACTTGGGGCAAATTGGTAAACATTAGGAACCAAATTGGGGGTTCGTATAATAGTTTAAGGATCAAATCAATGATTTTTTTAGTTCAGAGACCAAATCAATGGTCTGTATAATAGTTTATGGACCAAATTAAAAGTTTAACCTTAAAAAAATGAAATTGTATTACAATTTGAATTTCTCTTAAAGTTTATCTCAATTCTTAAGAATGATCAAAATAAAGAAAATTACAAATCAAAATTAAGCATTGCATGTTTGGCTAAAGCTAGCCTAACAATATGAATATTTTTTCTTTTTAATACATTTGAAGATGGATATAGTCCTTTAATTTTTAAAAAATAATAATAATATTTTAATGCATATATTTCTGTAAAAAAGAAAACATGCGATTTTTTTTTTTTTTTTTTGTTCTTTTGTTTTGTTTTCTTCATGCAAAATTGGTCAAAAACGAAAGGGAAATTAAGGAAGAAGAAGAAACAAAAAGAAAGAAGCACTCTATACTCCTCTTACCAACAATGCTCCTGAGGTGGGGTTGACGATGGCCTAGGCATCTCCTTTTTGTTGGCCATGTTGATATCCAATTCTGGGGAATGGAATTTCCCCAGAGATGGGCATGGCCTGGCCTGGGCCAGGACGTGAAAAAGAGGGAATCTGTTTAAATGAATGTGGGGGAGAGTCAGCCTGTCAGGGCTCTGGCGTAGATATTAGGGAACCCCATATCCCCCTTTTTTGTTACTTTCTTTAATGTTGTTATCACTTTGACACAGGAATTTCTTGTTGAAAATTGAAATTATCTCCTTGCTCAGGATCATTTTTTTTAATAGGACTATACTGCCTTCTTATTTTGTTATTTTTTAATGCGTTGTGCAACGGGTAATTTTCTCCTTCATTTCTTCATCTTTACTGCATATTGTACAAAAAGAAGTGTTAGTGATATATATTTCTTTTTCTTTTTGTACTCTTTATTAATACTCGCAATATAATTAATTTATTTGACTTTCTTTTTCTTAGGAGTGCTGCGAACACTCTCTTCGGTACTCTTTTTTGTAATACTTTTTATGTGATTGGGTTATGTGAAATATAAATTTAATTTGATTAGTAATTAGTGGTTGATATAAAAGTAAATATTTTTAAAATTTAAAATCATGATCAATCACATTAAATTTATGTTATACATATCTCAATCACATAAAAAATATCTAAAAGACAGTGTTAGAGAGTGTTGTTAGCATTCCTCATTTTTTTTACTATGAATATATATCTTAGATTTATTTATTTAGATTTAAAGTCATCAACAAATGAACCAAAAAAAAAAAAATCTCTTGTACGATTTCTATTTTCAAAAAAAAATTGTCATGCTTTCAAAAGAACGGTGTTTAATTGTTGGCCTGGGCTTTTTAGCTTTTATATTTGACTGGACTAGGTTCAAGTAATCAAGGGGCACCGTTGTTCAAAAAAAAAAAAAGAAAAAAAGAAAAGAGGGCTGTTAATGTGGCTGAAAAAAGGAGTAACATGAAGGTTTTGACTTTTGATTTTAATTTTTTTATATTTTGGCCAGATAATTTTTGAATGGAAGTGTGGTGGAAATGTGAGTAAGGGGACAGTTTGGTTAGATGTATTGTCAAGGGATTTTATGAGCATTTAATTTTGGTCCATCAGGAATTAATTTTAGCTTGACTGTCTAGCACCATCCACTAGTTCGGCATTTTGGAGCCTATGAACTTTGAAGTTTGTGTCCTAAACTAAATTGATGGATCATAAATTGAACCACTCAAGTTGAACGATTTAAATGATTTTTTTTCTTTAAAACTAGGTTAAAATTTCATTTTG